AAAGTATATTTTATTGACTATGATATTACAGTTTTCCCAATTTCTCCCCCTTTATCCCCCCTGGAGCCCCCCAACCCTCCAGCATCCCCCACCCTTAGTTTATGTCCATGGGTTGTACGTATAAGTTCATTGAGTTCTCTGTTTCCTACACCATTTTTGACCTCTCCCCGTCTATTTTATGCCACCAATTATGCTGCTTCTTCCCTGTACCTTCCCCCCCATTCCTCCCTTCCCCCTCCCCACTGAACTCCCTTTATGTGGTCTCCATTTCTCTCATTCTGTTCCTGTTCTAGCTGTTTGCTTAGTTTTCCTTTTCACTGTTTGTCTTTTCTTTTAGGTTGATTTGTTGATAGCTATGAGTTTGTTATCATTTTACTGTTCATAAGGAAAAGATAGATAAGAAAAAGATAGATAAGCTATCTTTTTCTTAGATAAGTCCCTTTAACATTTCACATAATAATGGCTTAATGATGATGAACTCCTTGAACTTGACCTTATCTGGGAAGCACTTTATCTGCCCTTCCATTCTAAATGATAGCTTTGCTGGATAGAGCAATCTTGGATGGAGGTCCTTGCCTTTCATGACTTGGAATACTTCTTTCCAGCCCCTTCTTGCCTGCAAGGTTTCTTTTGAGAAATCAGCTGATAGTCTTATGGGAACTTCTTTGTGTGTAGCTGTCTCCTTTTCTCTTGCTGCTTTTAAGATTCTCTCCTTATCTTTAATCTTGGGTAATGTAATGATGATGTGCCTTGCTGTGTTCCTCTTTGGGTCCAGCTGCTTTGGGACTCTCTGGGCTTCCTGGACTTCCTGGAAGTCTGTTTCCTTTGCCAGATTGGGGAAGTTTTCCTTCATTATTTGTTCAAATAAGTTTTCAATTTCTTGCAGTTGTTTTTCTCCTTCTGGCACCCCTATAATTCAGATATTGGGACGTTTTAGGTTCTCCCAGAGATTCCTCAGCCTCTCTTCATTCTTTTGGATTTTTATTTCTTCCTTTTGTTCTGGTTGGATGTTTATTTCTTCCTTTTGTTCCAAATCATTGCTTTGAGTCTCGGGTTCCTTCCTGTCACTCTTGGTTCCCTGAACATTTTGCTTTATTTCATTTTGGGTGTCTCATTTGTTCTTCCATTTTGTGACCAAGCTCAATCAGTTCCGTGAGCATTTTGATTACCAGGGCCTTAAACTCCATCAGATAGATTGGCTGTCTCCTCATTGCCTAGCTCTCTTTCTGGAGTTTTGCTCTGTTCTTTCATTTGGACCATATTTCTTTGTCCGGGGGCACCTGTTAGGTTGTAAGGGGGCGGGGCCTTAGGTAGTCACCAGGGCGGGGCCGCCCTCCCTGCTGCTGCTCTGGGTGCTGCCTGGGAGGAGGGTTCGGGGAGGGAACAGTGCGGCTCCCCGCTCGGCTCTGGCCCACTTTCCAACAGACTCTCGTGTGAGACGGAGTTTCTCCCACCACAGCAACCCCGCCGTAGTCCACACTGTGCGCTCTGAGCCTCAGTCTCCCGTTCAGCCATCTCCACCAGGGCAGTAGACCACATTTCCACGGGTTCTCTCCGTCCGCCCGTCTCAGTGGTCTGGTTGGTCTGCTCAATTGTTTCTTTAATTCCTTGGTTGTCAGAGTTCCGTGCAGTTTGGTTTTCTGGCACTTTTGGCTGTTTGTTGATTTTAGATTGGTTGTCATCCTCCTTTTGGTTGTGTGAGGAAGCGAAGGGTTTCTACCTACTCCTCCATCTTGGCTAGAACTTCAAAATCTTTTTAACAAATTACTTAAAAATGGAAAGATCTAAGCCCTGGCTGGCGTAGCTCAGTGGATTGAGCATAGGCTGCGAACCAAAGCATCGCAGGTTCGATTCCCAGTTGCAGGCCACGGCCCCCAGCAACCGCACATTGATGTTTCTCTCTCTCTCTCTTTCTCCCTCCCTTCCCTCTCTAAAAATAAATAAAATCTTTAAAAAAAAAGAGTTCTAACCACGGTGAGGGTGGACATCTTCGAATCTGCTGCAGCCTATGGCACGTGGCCTCTCCATCCTCTTTCCCTTCGTCGTCACCCGTGTCCATGCTCCCGACAGCCCTTCTCCCGCCTCCCAGACGGGGTGGGGGCTGCTCGCCCCTGCGGCAGGTGTCGGGGACTGCCATGAGGCAGACTGTGTTTTCCTGTAGGAGACGTATGTTCGGAATGCCCCTGAACGGACCTTGATATGGGGGACGGTCCGTACACAAAGGGCAGCTCTGCTGCTGTGTGGCTGTGACCTCAAACTAACCTATTGTCTCTAACGGTCGCCATCTATTTCAAAACGATGGTGTCTGTCGTCTAGGACTTTAGAAAGGCTTTCTAAGCACGGCTGGGACTGCCTGCTTTTTAAACGTCTGTTCAGGGAGGCTTAAGCCTCTCCACGTTTATTTCTCGAGTAACTAGCAGCAGTAAAATCACTTATTTTGCACAAGACCTGTGTCCCAAGTTAAGATTCAACTGTGTTTAAAAGAAACCGTTGTATTCTATTGCTATGAAGACAGTATACAAAATAAATGGAAGGGTTTTCTTTCAAAAGATTTTATTTGTTTATTTTTAGAGAGGAGGAAGAAAGAGAGGGAGAGAAACATCGATGTGAGGTTGTCTCTTGCACGCTCCATACTGGGGACCTGGCCCACCACCCAGGCACGTGCCCTGACTGGGAATCAAACCAGAGACCCTTTGGTTTGAGGCTGTCATTCAATCCACACCAGCCGAGGCTGAAAGGTTGTTTTTTTTTTTTTTAAGAGAAAATGTACTCATGATTTTACCACCTAAACACAAAAGTTATTCATTTTTGTTCATTTGCTTCCAGTCTCTGCCCACACATGGATCTTCTCCAGATCTGCAGCCACTGCGCTTGCATGATTTGAATGTTACTTGTTTCACTTAACAAGTATGTCTGTGGCTTTACATGCCGGTAATCTGCATACTGATCGAGCTCAATGGCTGTGTAACGCTTCTGTGAGTAAATGAGGGGTAATTTCCTTCACCGTCCCCCTAACACTGCGCAGGAGGCTGCTTCCAAGTTCTGCACACACAATGGGGATTTCCGTGCCAGAGCTTTCTCCGATCTTGGCTTACTTCCTCCGGCCACTCCCTGGAGGGAAATTACTCCGTGAAAGACTCCAGGGCTCCTAGGATTTTTACTGCCCTCCCGAGGGGGTGTGCCAAGTCACCCGGTGCCAGCAGAGCAACCCGTGCTCTGGGCCCACTGTGAAAGGCAGCTCCGCGTCGCAAGCCGGTGTCGCAGCACTGCCGTCCGCAGGCAGGGTTCTGGGGTGGCAGCTCAGCCATGAGCCTTGGAAAGGAGTCGCCAGCCTGCAGGCTCTTTACCCCAGGGTCCAGGGAGAGAGAGCCATGGCTAAAGGGGGAGGGACTCTCCCTGGAGCTGGCACAGCCTTGACATGCCGGGTGACTGCTGCGGGTGGCTCCAAGTCACAGATACCACCTGGACGATACAGATGCGAACATGGGGTGGCTGCTCCTGACTGTGCCTGCCTCGCGCGCTCCAGAATTCGAGTAACTCTAACGGACATACGGTTTCAGCCATGGTGGTTGCGGTTGTTTCTTTGAATGGGGAGTGGTGCTCTGTGGCATTTTGCCCACAGCGCACACTGAAGTGGGCGTCATCCACCCAGAGTAACAAAAAGTGTAGGCAGTACAGAGTACGCGGGACTCAGGCTGCCGTGCGTCGCTGCCACAGTGGGTTCAGCGCCTGGAATCCCTGTGAGTGAGCCACCAGGAGCCCCCGGCTGCAGGCCCCCTGAAGGCCCGGGCTGCCCACGGGCCAACAGCAGAGCAGGGAACTGGTCCCGCAGGCCACAGGTGCATGAACTGACTGTGGCCGCTCTGTCCTGTGCAGTGTTCGCCCAGGGCTTTGCGGGATCTGGGACCTGATCCGATGGGCAGCCTGGAAGGGACGCCTCACGGACCAGTGGCTGGCAGTGGGGCGTGGGGAACTCACTGTACAACCTCTCTGAGCCCAGGAAGCTTAGGAACTTGCTGGGTGCAGGACAAAACTGTGCGCAAACAGAAGGAACGCCACGCGACGTGCTTTTCACTGCTCTTCCTGGGTCGGGTCTCCTCTCTGTCTGACACCATCCCCCCACCCCCCCCCCCACCCCCAGCCACCAGCTCACTCAGGGCCAGAAGCCTTTTTCAGAAAGAAAAACAATTCGTCACTTCACTGTTTCAAACCTTTCTATGGGGCTTCTGGAAATAAAATTCCAACTCCTTGGCTTTTTCCCCGGTCTGCGTAGTGAACCTCATCTTTCACGCAGCCCACTCCCGCAGGGGCCTCGTCGGACCCCGTCCTGCCGCACCCCCGCCACCGCGCCAGAGCGCTTATCGCCAACCACATAGGATACTGATGGACGGGAGAATTTGCACAATGTGAAACCGATTCTTAAAGTATTATAAAAAGTGTAGGAGATGAAAGAAGGCATAAAAACCATTAAGATAAGACCAGGAAAGGCCTTGCCCACTCCCCTGCGGCCTCAACCAAGGCACCCCGAAGGTTAGTGGCTGTTTGTACGGCTGACCGCCCCCCTCCATTAGCCCCCTCCCGCCCTCGCCAGCAGCTCTGGGGTCCGCCCGGTCCTCCGCATCCTGGGCAGTGCGTTGGGCGCACAGCGGGGACGTGCACCGAGGCGGTCACGTCCAGTTCGGGAGCCGCGCGGGTGCCCCGAGCCGCAAGCCCAGGCCCAGTACAGGGAGAAATGAATGGATGCAGCAAAGCGGCTCAGAGCCCCAGGCTCGGAGGAGCAGGCTCCGGAACCCACTCAGAGGCCCCGCCCCCACCTCCAGTGGCCAGTCATCCGGGGCCCGCGAGACTCGAGCCCGCCCCCTACGTCGCCCTCTACCAATGAGCGAGGCCCAGCCCCGTCGGCGCCCGCCGTTGTTCGCGCACCGAGCGCCAAATAAAGTTCTTCAGGGCTTTGAATTTTTTTTTTAAAGAGCCCGCTACCGTTCCCGCAGCCGCAGGCTAAAGAGTGGCCGAGTCTCCGCCCAGCCACTTCCGGTCCCGCCGCCCGGAGCCGGTGCGGCTGTGAGGGGCCGCGCCTCGCTGTCGCCGGCCGGCGGGTCATGGTGTTGGGCGCCGGGCCCGCCTCGCCTGTCTCGGGGTGTCCAGGTGAGGAGCGCGCGGCCCCCAGGCGGGCGAGGGGTGACGGCGGGCCTCCGGGCGGCTCGCCTCCCGCGGCGCCGGTGCACCGGGCGGGCCGGAGAGCGGGAGGCGCCGGGGCCCCCTCAGGCCGCGCGGCTGCTCTCGGCCGGCCGGGCTGGGCGGCGTGTCTGGAAGGCCCGAGCCGGGGCGCTGGCCGGGCTGGAGGGGCCGCCGCTCGAGCCCCGGCCGTGCCGGGCACGCAGACGGCCTGGTTGGCCCGCGCCCGCCGTGGCGGGGCTGCTGCCGGTCGCATTGTCCATGGGAAACGGAGCGCTGGACCAAGGTCATCGGCCCGACGTGGCCGAGGGAGCGGGGCTCGGACGCGGGCAGTCCGCCGGCGACCGCCGTGGCAGTCAGGCCGGGCAGCCGCCCCACGCCCGCGGGCGGCCGCGGCGGCTGGGAAGCTGTTACCGGGGGCGGAGGAGAGGACGAGGAGGACATCTTGGAACGATCGGCCCAGCCGGACCCGATTCCAGACCCGGTTCGGCGGGCGTGTCGTCTTGGGCGTGGCCCTGCCCTCCGCGGGGCTCGGTTTCCTCATCTGGGACCGGAGGGGCTGGGCCCGCCCCGGCCGCATGCCCCCCGCGCCGGCGCGGGGCCGGGCGCACTGCGGTGGCCGGGGAAGGCTTCTCGGGGGCATTGGGACCCGGATAGGAGTGCGTTCCTCCTGGGCAAGGAGGGCAATGAGATGGTGGACGGAAGGAGGACCCGCCAGGTCTGCGTATCGCATCGGGCAGAAGCTTCCAGAAATGAGCTGGGTGGTGTTGGGGGACGAGGCACAGGCCGGCCGCCCAGTGCAGAGGATTTCTGGCCCGAGGAAGGCGGGGGGCGGCGGAGGGTGCCGGCGGGAGAGGCGCCGAGAGACAGTCCCTGGCACAGGCAGGCTGCTGTGGGTCTGGGGGACCTCCACCCAGCCACACCTGCCGTTCAGGTAGCTGGCTGTGCCGGAAGGGGCGGGCTCCACAGGTGCGGCAGCCAACCAGCAGGACTCCCGGGCCTGGCGGGAGGTTCCCGGGCCCCGGCTCCGCGGGAGGTGGTCGGGTGTAGGCTTTGTGGTGTCCAGAGCTGGGCCGCGTCGGCTGGGGAAGCTGGCCGTCCCCCAGTGACCTGCACGCAGTTCCACCTTCACGCTTAGCTCAGGGCTGTTCAGGCAGGAAGGAGTGAGTGTGGCGCGGGGGCTCCCCACCGCGAGCAGACCGGCGCGGTCTCTGTGCAGGGCCGGGCGGGGGAAAGCTTCCCGCGTGATGGCGATGACGCCGGTGGGCGGCAGCCCAGGTCCTGCTTGGGGCCGTCTGAAAGCACCTCCGGCCGGAGGAGGAACCTCAGGGGCCGGCGCCACTTGTGGGGCCGAGACGGAGCGCGCTCTGCGCTGGCCCGTTTCCGCAAACACGGCCGGGGTCGGAGTTCGATGTTCGGTAAAGAAGGAAAAGGGAGCTCTGAGTCCGCTGTGGCTGCTCGGGGTCCTCCTGGAAGTTTGGATCATCTCCTGTCTTCAGATCTCTTTGCTTAGAGTTAATTTAGCATCTGTGAGGCTGTGTTCCCAGATTAGGCCCTTCATCCCTAAAGCTGTGCCCGGTCCCGGGGAAGATGCAGGCCATGGGGAAGTGGGCGGCCCCTGTGCACCTGATTTCCCGGACTGGCAGGGAAGGACGGACGGGCAGGGAAGGACAGACGGGCAGGGAAGGACAGACTGGCAGGGAAGGACAGACTGGCAGGGAAGGACGGACTGGCAGGAAACGACGTCCGTGCCGTGTTCTGTGTTACCTACCCGTGCACCGTGCACTCTCGGTGCCCAGCGTGTTCCCTCCCCGACTGTGGGCCTGAAGACCGCCTGGCATCCAGGAGGAATTGAGTGTGGACCCCCTGGGCCCCCAGGGAGGAGTTCGGTGGGGGCGGCGGGGTCACAGAGGAGCTAAGTGGAGTCCTCGGGGGCAGCGACCCAGGAGAGCATCCGGGGGCGACCCCCTCTTTGTGCGGGCGAGCCTCGCCGGGACCCTCCGAGGGGCTCCCTCGCCGGGTGTGGCCTGGCCGTGCGTCTCTGTGGGGCTCTTCGGCCTGACTTCCCTAGCGCGCTGCCTGCTGACCTCTGTACACGCTGTGCTTTCTCTCTTTTTACACCATATTCCATTGCCAAGGTCAGCCGGAGGATAAAACGGGCCGGCCTGCCAGTGGGACTGGGCACTCACCGGGGTGCCTGGCAGTGGACTTGGCTGGGTGGCGGCCGCTGCCTTGTGACCCCGATGTGCCTACGGGTCCCCAACAGGGCGCTGCATCCCCACAGGTGGTCCTCGTTCTGCACCCACTCCCAGTCCCCCCTTGTGAGACAGACCCGGGAGCCCTGTCCCTCAGCAAACCCGGGAGGCGGTGTGCCCGTGGGTGTGGCCTGGGCCCCCACGTGGCCCGCTGAAGACCTGGCGCGGTGGGTGGGAACCAGGCACTGGTGTAGGCGTGTTTTGCCGCCAGTCAGCTGGGCCAGGCGTAGCTGAAGGGCGCCCCACTGCCCACTCCCGGTCGGTGCAGGCATGGGGGTGCGGGGGTGTGGGCACATGCCCCGAGACCCTGCCCTGCTCAGGGCGCACGGGCTCCTGTGGTCTGCAGGAGGGAAGCTCTCGCTCCTGTGCTGGCGGCTCCCAGCAGCCGAGTGTCCCCAGAGCAGCCAGTCCCGGGCCCTGGGGTGTACGTACACCCGTAAGAAGGGCGCAGGTGGGGGAGAAGCCCCTCCCAGACCTGCGAGCTCACAGCTGGCGGGCCCTGCTGTGCCGCGGAACTGCCTCCGGCAGCACGGCAGCCAGGGGTTCTCTGGGGGGTGAGGGTGTGCGTGTGCGTGCGCACGAGCGTGACAGGGTGTGTCTGCTGGGGCCGTGCGTGACTCAGGAGACGTGCTGTGTTGCTTTCTCGGTGCAGACCGAGGACATGAAACCTCGCAGTCTTTGGGGGGGGGCGTGTGAGGATAGTGCGGGGGCCATGTGAGGACCTGGGAGGGGGTGCCTGTGTATTCTGGCTTTCAAGCCCTCGGCCTCGGGCGAAATGTCCGGTGCTTGGGTCAGGTTCTCCTCTGGGAGCTCTGGGGCGCTTTCTTGTCACACGGAGCAGGGCGGTATTGAGAGGCACTGGTGTCCCTGCAACAGAAGGAGTTCTGGACAGGCAGGGCTGGCCACCGGCTTCCGTCCCCAGTCACAGGGCGCTCCGAGTCCTCCTGCAGCCGAGCCCAGCAGGCGAGGGCAGGCGGCGGCTTGTGCGGCAGCGGTGCAGGCCCACAGGACGGGCCAGCCGGTGGGGGTTTCTCCAGCCCTCCCCCCAGGCAGCGGGGGGCGCACGCTGGTCCTTGGTGTCTTTCCTGGGGAGCTGCCCTGGGCGTCTGGGAGCAGCCGGCGAAGGGACCCCCAGCGTGGGGCGTTAGCTGTGAGTTAGCCGTGATGCTGATACTCCCTGGAAATGTAAATACGCAGCGTAAATGGACGTGCAGATGCACATTGAGGTTCGGGCCGCACCTCTCGTGAAGGAAGGAGGGTGCAAAGCATCGTGGTGCCCATTCCCCACCAGAGGCCGACGCCCCTCAGTCTGCGAGGGGCCAGGCCTGGGGGCCGCACACGGGTGTGTAGTCCCCGCGATGGGTGCGGGGAGGGCAGACTGGCCCCGGACGCCGGGGAGCCCATGTGCGGAGCCTGTCATGGGAGGCTCCCCTCGGCCGCGAGCTCCGCAGGTCCCTGTCCCTGCTGCCCCAGGCCTGGTGTGCAGGGAGGGCTAACCCCGGGGCACCACCCCCTTTGCGGGCCGTACCTCACACGGGAGAACGCTGCACTTCCCGAGGGTGGCGCAGAGTGGCCCACGCCCCTGTGACAGAGCCCAGGCCATGCGCCCCATGTCGCCGGCATCTGGGCTGCCGCCCCTCATGGCGCCCCGTCTGTCTTCCAGGGAGAAGGCGGCCGCGATGCTGACGCTGGCGAGCAAGCTGAAGCGGGACGACGGTCTCAAGGGGTCCCGGGCGTCGGCCACCGCCTCCGACCCCACTCGGAGGGTGTCTGTGAGGGACAGGCTGCTCGTCAAAGGTGAGGCCGCCCCCCCGGGGGCCCTGTTGGGGCAGAAAGCAGCCTCTGGCTGAGTGCCAACGCCTGTGGGAACGGATTTTAGAGGGTCGTCGCTTATTGTGGACAGCGGGGACGCTGGCCACGAGGAGAGGGCATTGCAGACTAGTCTCCCCAACCCCAGGGCTGCCAGCGTGCAGGTGGGGGGCCTGGGGCCTGTGGCTCTGCTCTCTGCTGCCACCTTCTGGCCGGTGGCAGAGGGTCTTCTTTCCTGCGATGGCTCAGCACCCCCCAGGGAGTGGGGCTCGGAAAAGTCTGAGGACCCTTCTCCACACGCCACGTTAGCGCCCAAGGAGAGCCGGCCGCAGCAGGGCACCCTGGATCCGAGGTCCCCGGAGACGGGGGGACGGGCTGCACGTGTGAGTGGGGGTGCCCGCATGTGCACATGTGTGCAGAGCTGCGGCCTCACTCCCGGCACAGGCGTCGGCGTGCGTGTGCGAAGGCAGCTCCCGGGGCCCCGCGGGCTGCAGGGGTGGGGAAGGCGCCGTCCACCTCGAAGAGGCCCGGGCTTGGGCGCGTCTCTGCTGACGTGTAAGGAGGGGCCGGGACGCACACAGGGGTCGGGTGGCGTGTCAGGACCGGTGGGTCAGGACTGCCCCGTCCATGGTCTCCTAGGCAGACACCTGGGCACTGGGCACGTCCTGACACCGGGGGGGTGGGGAGGCTTCCACCCAGAGCACACCCATCCTTCTCCTCCCTCTGCGCCCCATGCCGGTCCGCTCCAGCCAGCCCTGCCCGGCAGTGCACGTGCGGGCGCTCGCCCCTCTGGCCTGGTGGGGGGCAGTGCGCGGCCACACTGAGGTTTTCACAGCAGCCTCACCCTGTGTGGTCTGGGTGGGCCCTCTGGGACCTGAGTCTCCTTCCCGCGGGCCGGCGCAGCCTGGAAAGGGTCTGGCACGGGGTGCCGTGTCCTGAGGAGTGGGGGGCGGGCGCCTGGAGCCCGGGGAGGTAGCGCGAGGAGAGTCCAGCCCTGCGGCGGGGAGCCAGTCCGAGGTTCTCAACGGGTCCCCATCAGTGTCACTCAGCTCCTATGCCCTGGGCTCCTCCGGCCAGGCCCCTGACCTGGGAGACCGTTGCTAAGCCATGCTGGGCGGGCGGGCGGTCCGTGTAGTGGCTGGGCTCACTCGGAGGGCGGGACACTTGGCCGGGAGACGGCTGTGGTGCTGCAGGGCGGGCTCAGGGTGGAGAGTGGCCAGGCCTGGCACCCAGAGACGGAGGAGCAGAGAGGGGCTCCTGCGTGCCCCCGGCCCTGCCCGGGGTTCCCCGGGGGCTCCACGCAGCCCCTGGAGCCCACTGGGGCTCGCCTAGCTGGACGCTGCCCCTGCTGGAGGGCAGGCAGGGTCAGGTGCTCTGAGCTCGTGAGACCACTCAAGGAGAGGTTCAGGGCCCTGGGTGCGGCCGCCGTCCCCATCCTCCCGGGCGCTGGTGGGCATCGGGGCTCAGGGAGACACACGCCCCGTGGGCCCGCTCGCTCCATCTGCCTCGGGGGCGGCTGGGCCAGGCTGGCTGAGTGGGGGGTGGTTTGGGCAGGTGGGGAGGGTGGGGAGAGGGCTGGGGGGCCCTGCGGGGGGTGCTCCTGAGGGCTGAGGCTACCCCTGGAGGGCTCCTCTGCTCGGCCGGGTGTGCTGGCAGCCTCCCGGCTGACGAGGGTGCCGTGAGGCCTGGGAGGGGTGCTGACGGCAGAAGCTCGCCCCTGGGAACTCTAAGAAAAGTAGGGGTCTGTGTTTAGCAAGATGGCTCCGGTCAGGACCACGGTCCCGGGCCGGTCCTGGCTCCCCTGAGGAGGTCCCTGGGTGGGTCGGAAGGAAAGTGGGCGGCTGTGTCCGTGCACTCAGCGTGGAGGGCCGCGGTGCAGGGTTGGGTCCGGGTCGGGCAGCGGCCCCTGTGCCCCCACTCTGGGGGGCGGGCTCTGGGGTGGCGGAGGGCCCGGCTGCCCACCTGCCCCACATGCTGCCCACACCTGGGGAGGGGGAAGCACTCCAGCCATGGGGTGGTTCAGAGGCCTGTCCATCAGGCAGTTCCTGGGTGCGGGGTGGGGGACCAGCCTCCTTCCCCAGAGCTGCGCTCCCCACGCCCTCCTGGCCAGGACTCTGGGGGCCTGGCGTGCCGTGGTGGCAGGGCACCCCAGTGCCCCAGCTCCCGACAGCATCGTACCGTGGGGGGTGGCGGTGGGGCTCCGTGCACGGCGCCTTGCCTCGGTGCCAGGTGCAGCAGGTGCAGCCCAGGCCACACACTACAGGGCCTGTTTGAAAAGCCGGGGCCTGGCCGCGAGAGGAGGAGGAGCACGGCTAACAAGGGGCTAAGGTGGCTGGCCCCCCAGTGACCTTTGCTTACAGAGGGTTGAATGGCAGCAGAGCAGCCCAGGAAACCGCGTGTCCCTCAGCGTGCTGATTAGCCCCGTGGGGCAGTGCTGTCTGTGGGGGACAGAGGGGGGCTTGCGTCCGCCCCGTCTGCTCTGGCTGGAGCTCGGGGTGTGAGGCCGGGTGCTCCATGCCCTCGGGACCAGGCTGTGCCGCAGGGGCCGGGCAGGTGTTCAGGGTCTCGGCCTTGGACCCCCGGAGTGCAGAGGGGCCTCGAGTGCTGTGTGCCTTCACCCTGCAGGTGCTGCTGGGAGGCCCTCGGGCTGGGGGGAAGGACCGCGTCAGGGGCTCGGCGTGAGGGTGGGGGCGGGGGCCAGCCAGGGCTGGAGCTGGTGATTTTATATGGGGGACCTGGCTAACGTTGACACCTGTCTCTTTGTCTCTGCAGAGGTCGCGGAGCTCGAAGCTAACTTGCCCTGTAAGTACAGCACCCCGCCCGGCCCCGGTGCCATGAAACGCCGCATGGGCAAGCCTGCGTGGTCGATGACTGTGCGCAGCCGGGAGTCTGTGTTTCATGTGTGTTAGCGAGACACTTTTTAAAAAAAGATCTTATTTATTTATTTGTTTGTGTTTAGATGCGGGGGGTGGTGGCGGAAACATCACTGCGAGAGAGAAACATACTCTGGTTGCCTCCCGCGGGTGCCCCGGCTAGGACGGAGCCCGCAGTCCAGGCCCGTGCCCTGACCTGGCCTTGCACCGGCGACCTTTCGCCTCACTGGGTGACGCTCCACCACTGAGCCGTGCCAGTCTGGGCAGAGTGCGATCTGATCTCGGCCGGCGGGGGCCCACGGTGTCCAAGGCCCTGGTCAGGCCGAGAGGAGCCCGTCAGCCCTGTGTGTACCCCCAGCCTTCCTGCGGCGGGGCCGTGCTGGCGGGGTGCCCTCTCGCGCCCCCCCCCCGCCCCCTTTGCAGGGGGAGGTCTGTGGACCAAGGCGGGCAGTCCCAGTTTTCCTGGTGACGATAGACCTTCTTGGCCTGGAAGGTGCTTGTTCGCATCAATCCTTGTGTGTCAGACGGCGGCCCCCTCCTGTGCCCTCCTGCTGAGACGCTGACCCGCAGGGTAGGCAGCCGACCGTCAGAGCCCAGAGCCGGCGCGCTCTCCAGCCCTGGGCGGGGACTCGGGCCCAGTGCCGCTGTTTAGGGCCGCGCGAGCCTGAAAGCTCCAGCCGTCTGAACGCTTGTTTGAATTAGAACTTTTTCTCACCGCGCTCTGAAAAAATCGTTCTGGGGCTGAGGATGTTCGTGATGTGGGTGGAATATTTCACACGCGGGCCCCCTAGTCCGGTGAAGGCTGCCGCGGGGCCGTCTGCTGCGGTGGGGGGCGGGGGCGGGGGGCACTTCCGCGGCCTCCGGAGGCCGGGGAGGTGGGCGTGGCGGCGGTTTCCGAGGTGAGCTCCTATCGCTCTTCATTTCTGAGGCATTTTTATGTGAAATGCTCCTCGTTGTGGGTCTCGGTCAAAAATGCCTTGAAAGTCGTCGGGATCCTTGATCTCCAAGTGTCCTGCTGGTCGGAGCCAGAAGGCAGTGCCTGGGCATTCTGGGGGGGGGGGGTCTCCTGCCACGCCTGAGGCGCCTGCAGACGCGTCGCTTCAGTGTCCCAGGAGGACAGGCCGGCCAGTGACCGTGTGCTTGGGTGGCCGGACAGGTCAGGGCTGGCAGAGCCCGGAACCTGGGGGCCGGTCCACTGTGCTCTCCTCTCTCTGTCCCTGCCCTGTAACGTTTGTGTGCGTCGGGACATTTTTGGAGCACAGAAGTGAGGCAGTGCTTCTCTTTTCTCCTCCCGTGACGTCTCCCCGCCCCCCACCGCCCTGAACATGCACCTCGCCAGGCCTCCCAGGACCCCAGACACCTCCCCCCACGCGCAGCTCCTTCTGTCCTCAGCTGCGGTCTCCCCGGCGTGGCTGGCTCTGAACCCAGAGTGTAGCTTCAGCCTTTCTGAAAACGTGGGTGGAAAACAAGAATCTTTACAATTGGCTTTCAAACCCACATCTGACTGAACACCTCAGGTTTAACTAGATACCTTAGCCCTCGGCCCGAGTGGCAGTGGCGGATTAAGAAGACCACGAACTACCGGCCTCTCCTCTCCTCCACTTCTCCCGCCCGCGCCCCATTCACAGTGCGAACTGGGGGCGGGGGGGGGGGGCAGATTAGTCTGCGCAGAGGAGCCGGCTTCCCCGAAGCGTGCGGCTCGGTCCTTGAGAGAGGAAACGGGCCGCCGAGGCGGTCTGCACCGTCTGGCCGGTGGTCCCTCTGAAACACTTGTCATAGCAGAGAGCGAATGAAACAGCAGAGGTCCGCGGGGCAGTTCTGTGGAGTCGCTGGCGGAGCCCGTGGGGACCTCCGTGCCCGCGTGTTTGTGGCGGTCTCTCTGTTGGCAGGGGGCGAGAGCGCCTTCGGTTCGGGCGGGGGGGGGGGCAGTGCAGCGCCCCTGCCTCGCCGCTCCTCCTCGCGTCTCCCCATAGCGCCCTCTTTCAGGCGGGCGCACGCGTTAGGAGAGCGCGCGCCCTCCCTCCTTGGAGGACACGCTGGGTCGCGCGGTTTCAGCCAGGCCCCTGCATGGAACTGAAACAAAAGCCTGACTTGGACGTTCCACCGATGGTGCCAGAGCTCTGACTTCTCTGACCTTTAAAATTTGGGGGTGGTTTTCAGCAGTTTTGTTGTTCTTCAGTCTGCCTCGACTGCTCTGCGTTCTCGGTGAGCCGTTCTGCGTTGGAGGGACTGGCTTACACCAGCACCTTCCGTCCAACAGCGGCGGACGCTCAGAGTCGAAACAGGTGGGCGGTGCCAGCCTCGCGCGTGTGTGCCCTTGTCACGTGCACTTCACTGAAACGACGGCATTTGTCTTTCCACCCAAAGATGGAAACAAAGCCCAAACTGCTCGTGCGCAGGTCCCCGTGCGGTTGGGCGGAGCCTGGGACGCACGGGCCCCTGTCTCCGAGTTCCCGAAACAAGGGCGGTGGCCGTGCGGCCCCTCAGACCCGGCCTGCTCTCATCCCGCAGCGGTTTTCTGAGCGGTCGGTTAAAAGGGGGCCGCCAGCAACGCCGCATTGTCCTTAGGGCCGCGCCTGGCACGGCCACCGCGTGGTGGCGGGAGGCGTGGCCGCAGGAGGCGGGGTGGCGGGAGGCGTGGCCACAGGAGGCATGGCCACTGGAGGCGGGGTGGCGGGAGGCGTGGCCGCAGGAGGTGGGGTGGCGGGAGGCGTGGCCGCAGGAGGCGGGGCGGGAGGGCAGAGGCCTGAGCCAGGGTTCCGTTCTGGAACCAAATTTCCTTCTCTCGGAACCTCTGCACCTTGGTGTCACCTCTGATGGTTGAGGACTTTGTTTCATTTATTTTTAAATTTTTTTAATTGCTGTTCAAGCACAGTTGTCTCCATTTTCCCGCCACCAGTTCCCCCGCCCCACCCACCCACCTCCCAGTCTTCATCCTGCCCCCTCTGGACGGGGGGTCACTAAGGCCGTCTCCGGGTCCGCGTCGGAACCACCCTGCTGTGGGTGGAGACGCGTCCTGTCGGAGCACCAGCCGGGACTCTCCGGTGAGACTTGTGAGACGCGGCAGGCGCCCGGGGAACTCCGCGCAGCGGGCGCCGTGTTCACGGAGCACGGGAGGTTCCCCCTGCGGCCTGCCCACGTTCTGCGGGTGTCGACCCCTCTCCCTCTCGTTCCCGCGAGGGAGGCAGGCGCAGGACGCGGCCCGCTTGCCCGCCTGCGCCCCCGGCCAGGGGCTTCCCCCCCCCGCCCAGCCGTGGTCCCTGTGCATGCGCCCAGGCCTCTGCCAGGCGACGCCGCGGGCACAGCCAGGGCCGTCGGGCCACTGAGGGAGCAAGTCGAGCTACCTGTGGGATTGTGGGGACAGTTTTTTTAATGTCACAGGAAACGCTGGGTGTGAGCCGGCCTGGCCGACTGCGCATCCTTTTTAAGGGCAGTCTCGGGGGGGGGGGGGGCGAGGGGTGCAGACCGGGAGAGTGGCCGGGCTCTTCCTGCTTCTCCCCGCGTGGCAGCCCCCCTCTGTGTACCCTGCGCTCCCTGAGGTGGGGTCTCTCTTTCGAAGCACGGAGCACAGCTCTTGAGATGAGTGGGGAGATCTCTGCTGCTAGGGACCATCCAAAGGAAAGAGAAAGTCCCCGTTTGGGATTCAGCGGGAAGGGCTGTCCCAGGAGACCGAGGAGGCCCGGTCGCCATCAGATGGGCAGGAGGGGGTCCGACGCCCCCCGGCTGTGGGGGCTGGGGGGCCTCTCGGGGCGCCGCCGCCACCAGCTCTGCGACCCCCCTGACCTGCCGTTTGTCTTGCAGGTACGTGCCAAGTGCACTTCCCCGACCCGAACCAGCTGCACTGCTTCCAGCTGACCGTGACCCCAGGTAACGTGCTCGTCTCGCGCGCTTGAGTGTCCCAGTGACTTTCATGCCGCGCGTGTGAGAGGCCGCCCAAACCCGTGACCTCTGACTGTTTGGAAGTTACCACAGTCGTGACCACCCCGTGTGGAGACAAGATTTGTGCTTTGCGGTCGAATAAAGCCCGGTGACAGGAATCTGCGTCCTTCACTCCAGTGACTGGGGACAGACGGGGCGGCCCGGCGGCCCCGTGAGCAGGACAGGCTGCCGGCGGGCGCTGAGCCGTGTGCCCTGGAGTCCCCTGGGCCCCTCAAGGGGCAGCCGTGTGGCCGGGGTTGAGCGGGCCGCACAGCGGGGACGGAGCAGGACCTGTCTCCCAGGACTGCTGTGCGGATGGCGGAGATGGCGGGAGCGCACAGGCGGGCGCCGCGGATCGCTGGCCGTCCTGGTTAGGACTGATGAGTGGCTCCACTCCACGGGCCCCAGCGGGATACAGTGCCGCTTCCCGGCCCACCCAGGCCGTGGGGGGAGGGCTCGTGCCATTCTCCGCACTGTGCCCGCGCCCGCGCGCCCCTCGGGCAGTGAGCGGGGTGCCCTGGGCAGCAGGGGGTGGCAGGGAGCACGGAGGGAGCTCACTGGAGGGGAGGGGAGTGTGGGGGGGGGGCCAGGTGTTGTTTTCCTGGGGGGTGGAGAGGGGTGAGGAGCAGACTCCAGCGTCACGAGCTGATGCAAGAGCGAAAGAACGCAGGCTTCCAGCAGGTGACGCTGCGCCCACATGTTGCCCAGCGGCGGGAATGGTCACCACGCTCGGCCGCCGCCCCCAAACCCATCATCGCCCGTGCTGCTGGCTCTCCTGAGGGCGCCGGGCACACTTGCTGCCCCACGATGAGCTGTGGGCGCCGGTTCGGGTGCCTCTAGGGGTCGCTGAGGTGAAGGGGCCGGCTCTCTGCTCACGGAGCGGTCTCCAAGGGTGTGTGTGTGTGCGCGCGTGTGTGAGTGTGTGTGTGTGTGTGTGTGTGTGTGTGTGTGTGTGAGAGTGTGTGAGGCCCGGCCCGGGCTGCCGGCGGGGCTCAGGGGCAGCCCTGAAGCTCCCCACTCACCCTGGGCTCTGGCAGCGCAGTCCTGTTCACGGTCGGTGGCGTGTTCAGTTTCCTGGGTCTTGGGACTGTCCTTCATGGATGGACGTGTGTTCCTCAGAGGAGGGGTGGAGCTGAAATTGGGGCACAGGAAATGGATTTAGGAGGAAAAATAAGTCTTCACATCAACTGATAAAACAAGAAAACCACCAGCAAGTGAAACGAAACCAACCGAAGCGAGACCCTAAGCACTAACTGGGGTCTGCCCTGGAGCCTCGGGGGGCGAGGGGGGTCTCGGGACCCCACCAGGGTGCCGTGGCAGCCCCACCGACCTCCGGCATCCCGCAGGCAGCCAGGCACGGGGCTGTGAGCGTGGATGACACTCACTAAATGGCCACGTAATTGCAGTTCTCCCTTTACGAGTGTATTTGCTGAGGTATAAAATTACAGACAGTGAAGTGTGCTGATGTGACCTGCACGGCCTAACGAGGCTGAGGAACGCGGGCCCCGGGGTGGCCTGGCGGAGCTGCATGTGTCCGCCGCTCCCGGAGCCGCCTTCTGCTGCTGTGCAGCGGCCCCCGCGGCCCAGCCTGAAGTCCTTCCTGACTGCTGGTTCCTCAGGTCAGGTCCGCCAGCTCTGGGCCTGCACGTCAGTGGGGTCTTGCACGCTCATGTCGCATGTAAGAGAATCCTGTGTGTCTCACAGGCTTACGTGGTCTGTTTCTGGCTTCTTGCATGTAACGTGTGCTTAAACTCATACGTGACCTATGAGGGTCAGTCGTTCGTTCCTCCGCACTGGCCGTGTGAATGGGCCGTCGTCGGTCATTTTCCCACGGGTGGACCCGGGAACTCGCTCGGCTTCGGCTGTCACGAGGGTCTGCTGTTAGCGTCCTCTCACCGTCCGTAGCGCCGCCCTCTTTCTCATTTCTCCTCCCTCCACTGAAGAGTTGAGATCTCTGCTCATATAAGAAAGATACATGTTTAACGGGTTTTTAAAGATTTTATTGTTTTATTTTTAGAGAGGGGAAGGGAAGGGGAGAGAAACATCAATGTGTGGTTGCCTCTCGTGCGCCCCCTACTGGGGACTTGGCCCACAACCCAGGCCTGTGCCCTGACTGGGAATTGAACCAGCGACCCTTGGGTTTGCAGGGCAGCGCTCAGTCCACGGAGCCACACCAGCCAGGACAACACGTCGGATCTCTTTGTGGATGAGTTTTCTTCTGTCTGTGTGCCAGTCTGTGCGTCCGCCCAGCAGCTCGCCTGTGTGGTCCCACACGGGCGTGTTACACGTGGGCTGCAGTGGACCTCGGAGGACAGGCCCGTGTCCAGGTGCACGGGGTCACATCTCCTAGCCCCGCGGTCTCTGGGTCCCGGTGAGGGACAGCCGGCTGCACAGATCCCTGCCCAACTGTCTTCCCACGTGGGGGCCAGTGCCCGTCCCGGCCACCGTGGGGGAGAACCCCCTTCCCACGTCCCGGCCACCAACCGCTCTGTCTGGCCCCTCCCGCCCGGCCGCCCCGGTGGGCCCCCTCTCTCGGGCACCTCCCTCAGGCGGCCCAGGCTGCCGCGTGCCCTTACCGGCTGCCGTCTCTGTCCTGGGGCCGCTCTGCCTTCGTCCCTTTAGTTTAAAGGCTGTGCTGCTTGTCCCGTGTTACTTAGTTGCAAAGTTTATGCAGCTGGATATGAGCCTTTTATTAGATACGGTTTTTTTAATGCTTAATATCTGTTTATTGATTTGATGCGTATAACAGTTTTTGATCAGAGAATTCTACAGCTACGTCGTAAGTCTTGTACGTTTATGTGTGTTTAACCTAAGTATGTTTTTAAATGTATCAATTGTCACGGATGTTCTTTAGGTTTTTACATGTCACTTGTCTTAAAGCACGCCCCCACTGGTGAGTGAGCGTGGACGTGCAGGTCGCATGGAGTCACAGGTGGATTTGCCTGTTGCCCCCACGGTGCGTGCGGTCAGCGCTCGTCCCCAGCTTCGCATCCGAGCTTCGGGGCCCGAGAAGGGAAGGGCCCTCCCTGCCGAGTGAAGTCGGGCCGCGTCCGAGCAGGGAGACGTGGCCGGGCGCCTGGAGCGCGGCCCTGGCTGCACGCCGCAGGACTCGGAGGCGTTCAGGTGGCGGTGGAGGTTCCAAAAGGCGAGGACGTGGGGCGGAGCCCTGGGGCAGCCTTCCAGCCCGACGCCGCCTGGCCCCGGGGTGCCCGGTGGCCCTTCCCCCGTGGGCAGCGAGGGGCCGGAGGGGACAGACAGAGGGGAGTGCTGTCCCCGGAGGGTCTTCTCTGCAGGGAGCCCCAGGAGCGCCGGCGGCAGCTCCCACTTCTCCTGCGCGGCAGAAACGGGGCGCGGGCCCTTGGACAGTCCGTCTGCTGGGACGGCGCTCACCACTCACCCCCGCTCCCGCCCAGAGCTCTGTGGGGGGCCACTTCTTGGCTCACCTCCCACCGAGTCGGCGGTCTCCCCGGGATTCCTGCCCTCTGCTCGGGTGTGACTCCCGGCCGGCGCTCTCCTGGTGTGCCCAGGCGTCCTGGAGTGAGCGTGAGCGTGAATGTCTGGCAGAGGAAGTGTCCTCACGGCCAGCCGTGTGCGCGTGGGAGTGTGTGCTGACCACCACGGATGGCACGCTCTTCAGAAACGCGAGCCCTGGCCCTGGCTGCTGCGGCTCAGCGGGTGGAGCGCCGGCCTGTGCACCCAAAGGTCACTGGCTCGGGCCCCAGACCCGGGGGCACACGAGAGGCAGCCGGTCAGTGTATCTCTTGCACACCCACGTGTCCCTCCCTCCCTGTCTCCCGGCCTCCCCTTCTCTCTAAAGTCAGTAAACCCTCGCAGAGTGCCGGCACTCTGTTTCCTGCACCACATGACCATACCTGTGTGGGGGCCAAGGCAGCTTCTGCTCATCTTCCCCAAAAACCGCGTTGAGCGAGGTGTCGTTTACGGAGGGACTGCGCTGCTGGCCCCGGAGTGCGGTCCTCTGCACCTCTGCACGGGGACACACACGGCTGTGTGACCACCGGTGCGGTGGAGGTGGAGCGTTCCCACTGGCTCAGCGAGGTCCCCCCTCGACCCAGTCAGCCCCGCCCCACCCCTCCCGGGGACGCTGATCTGCTGTCTGCCCCGGTGCTGCCTGTTCCCCAGCGCCATCCGAGGGGCGCCAGACAGCACCCAGCGGTTTGGGAGGGGCGCTGTCACTCAGCGTGGTGCTTCCGAGGATCACTGTGTCCGGGGGCCAGCTCTGACTTTGGGGGTGGGGGAGGGGCCCTGCACCAAGGGGCGGGGCCAGTGAGGGAAGTGTGGAGCACCCCCCCCCCCAAAGGAATGCCATGGGCCGTGCCCAGGTTGTCGGGTTTGGGGCCCCTCGCCGGCAGGAGGTGGTACACTGGGACCGTGGGAGCCGCGGAGTCTGGGCGCAGACAGCCACCGTGTGACGCTGTTACCGGTGGCTGTGCTCTCTGTTTCCGGGGAAACCTCCGAGAAAGACAGATACGCTGTATGTGTTCTGAGGAAGTGGTTCTGCAGCTTCAGGTTTGCCGCGAGGGTGTGATTCTTCCCTCGGTCAGCCTGTGCGCCGGGCACTGGGGGCGCGGCGCACACCACTCGTCCCCCGGCCCGTGGAGCTGCTGCTCTGGTGGGAGACGAGCCGCACGTGGGCGTGCGACCACGCGGCGTAGATGCGGGGTCCGCTGTGCTGACGTGTGGTGAGGGGACACGCTGGGTGCCCGGGGCGGAGTAGGTGGGGCCCGGGCGAGGGCAGGCTGCTGAGACTGCGGGGTCCCCGGAGACTGCGGGGGGCGCCGGCGCGCAGGAGGCCGGCGCAGAGCGTGCTGCTCGGGGGCGGGGTGGGCTCGGGTGGCCCCGCGGAGACGCCCTGCGGTGCCCTCGCGAACTCTGAGTTCTCCGTACCCACCGCATCCTAACACGGTGTCTGCTTTCCTTTCTTTTTTTTTTTTTTTTTTAATTTAAAGGATTTGTTTTGTCTTGTTTTGTGTTTTTTGCTAGATGAGGGTTACTACCAGGGTGGAAAATTTCAGTTTGAGACGGAAGTCCCCGATGCGTACAACATGGTGGTGAGTAGCCTGTGGCAGAGGGTGGTCGAGAGGCGCCGCGCCAGCCCACACCTGCGAGGGCTGCCGGCGGTCTGCGCCCCACCTGGGCGGGGGGACGGCGGGGGGGCCCCCCCCCGCTGGGGAGTCCGCGTGGGTCCCGTGAGGCTGCGGCACTGAAGGGAGCGGCGCTTCACGCCGAGTCGCCAGGATTCCAGAGGCACACGGAGCGCGTACTCAGAATTTTAGGAAAAAGTGGTGTCTTGTCGTTTCCGGCCGCGAGTAATTTAAACCCATAGCTGCGTGGCGATCCCTCAGGGACCCCTGGGTCGTGATTTCGCCAAGGGCGGGCCCATCCCGTCTTTGCTTTCAGGAACTTCCTGACCGGGTAGGGAAGTGAGAGAACGTGCTGAAAGTGATCACGAAACGTCGACAGTGGAAGGACGCAGACAGCAGTGATCAGTGACAGGAAACTGATTTCCGGGAACTCTTCAGACAGTGGCGGGGGCCAGTGCAGCTGGGGGAGGGAGCCGGAGCTGGGGCCGCCCGATGTGGGCGGGCCTCCGGCGGGCGGGTGGTCTGGCTGGTGCCCCAGGGGCCTCTGGGTCGGCGTGGGTGAGCCCGACGGGCTCCCTGGGAGGGAGGGACAGAGCTGTCCCTCCTGGAGCTGAGCCGGGGCTGCAGGCCGCGCCCCACTCCGGCCCGCGGGCCTCAGCAGCTGCACAGGCTGCTCCTGCGTTCTGTCAAGTTCGTCCCCGTTTGTTTGTCGAAACGCAAACCAGAGCATGTTGGCATGACTGACACCCGCCCTGGACCTGAGTCCATAGTCCCTGGGCGCCCACGCCCGCACGGGTGGGGGGCAGGGGGCGAGTCGGAGTCCCGTGGCGTCTGGGGCGTTGCGGTCAGGAGGCTGAGGGAGTGCGTTGGCTGCAGTGAGTGGGAGCCGGAGCTGGGAGGGTGACGGGGGGTGACGGGGGCGGTGGGGGGGGGGGGAGACACTCTCCGAGTCGGCATCAGGACACAGATTTGATGACAGGCAGTTTTTAAATCTCCTCTACACCTGAGCCAACATCATAAACGCAGACTAATGCCAAGTGACAAACCGGGAAAACGCCCCTCTGTGACCAGGGGCCCTGAACATCTGGGAGGTGACGTGTCTGGTGGCTGAGCCAAGGAGACCGGCCTCGGGTCCAGGGCTGGGGGCAGCCCTGCCGTTGCTGCAGGGGAGGGGCTCCGGCCCCTCCGTCTGCCCTCGTCTGGTGAGCCACACCCTGCAGGCGTGCGCGAGGACAGGCGCCGACTCGGCACGGCCCGCCCTGGCGGGCACAGGAGGCCCGTAAACGTGCGGCGACAGGGACCTGGCTCCTGAGACGCTGCTGCTCCTGCCGTGGAGCGCGAGGGGGCCTACGGCCGCCTGCCGCAGTGACAGAAATGGGTGTGGCAGATGTGTAGCGCGAGTCCCAGCCCGTGCAGTGCACAGGAGTGTGATAGAGATTGTTTCTGGGCAGAGTTACTTTCTACGCATGAATACGTCTTTCTGCTGCCTCGTTGTCTTAAATGAGTATGGGTGGCTTTTACGAGAACCTTGAAAAAACAGCCTTGCCCACCCGCCCCTCGTGCTGCCCAGCGCCCCGCCCCTCCCCCCCCCCACCGTGAGTGTGCGAGGCCCGGACGTGCACCGGGGTGCCGGCGGCCACCGGCAGCATCCTCAGGAGCACAGACGGAAGGAGTGGCCCCCAGCGGGGGAGCCCCATGCGGCCACGGTTCAGCGGCTCAGCGCAGGGGCAGCCGTGGGCTCCTGGCCAGGGAGGGGGCCGCAGGGGCAGAGCCACAGGCGCCCCCTCACAACCCGGCCCAGCAGCCCGTGCCGGCCTCGGCCACGTCGGCCTGGGGCTCATCGAGGGCTGTGTAAGGGCGAAACGGGCTTTACCAGCGAGACTAGCCCCTGTGGGTGTGGGGTCACAGCACCGTCCCGCGTGGGTGACACCAGCCTGTGTCCGAGGTGGGACGCCGAGGAGGCCGGGGGGACAAGGGGCCGGGTGGGGCCCGTGGTGGGGCCCGTGGTGGGGCGGTGACGTGCTCTGGACCCCTCTCTCTCTGCATTGCAGCCTCCCAAAGTGAAGTGCTTGACCCGGATCTGGCACCCCAACATCACCGAGACGGGGGAGATATGTCTGAGGTGAGCGCCCCTCCTTGCTGTCCTCCCCACGTGCGCGCGCCGAGTGGGAGTCCTGGATGGGTGGGGCGGGAGGCTACCCTGGGGCTCCGAGCCGCACCGGGCACCTGGCCTCGGCCTCCTGCGCCCTCTGCTGGCCAGGGTCTCGCAGGGTCCGTGCAGCCGCCGCCTCCCCAGGGTGCTCAGCCTCTGCCCCTCCCCCTCCCCCTCCCCGTCCTGTTTCAGTGGGGCCGGTTCCCTCCCCGTGGCTGATTCCGGCTGCGAGGGGAAACGCCATTCATGAGATCCGGGGAGAAAACCTCCTCCTGTCGGTTCTGCTCCAGCACCGCACCCCGTCCGGGAGGCCGTGTGCGGCCTGCCCCCGCCGCGCTGTGGTGCACGCCGCCTGCCCCCGTGGCAGCCCAGCCTCTGTAGTTGTCAGCACATCCGTAGCCGGACGCCTGTCCCAGGGCACTGCCCTCGGAAGTGTGTTCTGAAAGTGCTGAGACTCTGCGGGTGGCCTCCTTCCGCTCCAGGTGACGAGGCTGGCATCTCCCGCCGCAGCCTGTCCCAGGCGGGCCCCTTGCTCGCGCCCCCGTCCTCGCGCAGAGCCCAGTCCAGGGCAGGATCCCCGTCGCTTCTCTGTCTCCCAGGAAGTCAGATGTTAGCGAGGCCGGACGGGCATGGGCAGACGCTGCCCGCTTCCGCCGCCGCCGGCGGTCAGGGCTGGAGACACGCAAGCACGAAAGCCAAAGCGGGGGCAGCTGGGTTACGGCACTGGTGAGGGAGGGTCCCTGCGGGTCGGCGTGAAGAGGGAGGGCGGCGCCTCGGGGCCTCGGGCACGGCGGCGGACAGGCGGGGGTGGGGGCGGGGGCACCGCTGGGTGATGGCGTGTGGAGTTCAGCAGAGCCCAGCTCGTCTCCGCCAGAAGGAAACTTGTGATAAAGCCTCGTGGTCTGGCGTGGCTGTCCGGTGGGAGGGTGCGCTGCGCGTCTGCAGTCGATGGGAGGGGCACGGGGGCCTCCCAGGGCACGCCCGTGCGTGACCTTCCCCCAACAGGCCCCGTTCCCACCCGCAGCGAGCACCATCCACACCGCAGTCGTGGGTCCGTCTGCCGTCACCCTCAGTGTCCCCTCCCGAGCCTTCTTATAAAGATGGCCATCACAGTGGGCACCAGGTGCCCTCGTGGGAGCTGCCCCGCAGGCCGGAGGGACGCAGGCACTGCCCTCGGGGGGGGTGGGGGGGTGCGGTGAGGTCAGGGTCGAGGGGACACCGAGCGGGAAGCTCCGGCTGCCCTTCGTTCCCACTGTCGTCGCCGTCGCTGCCTCGCCGTCAGGTCGACACACGTCCTGCAGCGTCTCCAGCACGCTGTGCCCCCCAGACCCTCCCGTCCGGACGGGACTGGACACTGTGCCCGTGACCGAGGTCCCAGGGGTCAGCCTCGGGCACGGGCCGGGCCTCACGGGCAAGAGGCCTCCCGCGGCAGGACGGGAGACCGCGAGGCTGCGGAGCCGCTCCCCGCTGACCGCCCCGCTCCCCGTCTGTTCCAGTTTACTGCGGGAACACTCGATCGACGGCACTGGCTGGGCCCCCACGAGGACGTTGAAGGTAGGGCACGCTGCCGGTGACCACGGCCTGCCCCGGGGCCCCCCCCTCAGGACCCAGCCCCCACAGGGCAGCCGTGTCCTGCGCCCCGTGCACACAGGTGGCCGGGCACGGCCGGGTGCAGCCTGCCCCTCCCCGCCCCGCCCCGCCCCGCCCCTGGGGCTGCTCGGCCCAGCACTGCCCAGTGCGGGGCGGCAGGTCGCCTGCCCTGCCTTGGCCCTGCCCCAGCTGCGTGAGATCGGCCGTTCCTGTTCTCTGTGCCCACCCCCAGCCCCGGCCTTTTACGCTTGTCGCGCCCTTAAAGGTGCGGGGGCTCCCAGGGTGGGGGGGGAGGGAGAGGAGGGCTAGGTGTGGCTTCTGTGTGTCGCTTCTCAATGTGCCGGACGGCAGCCGGCCATGCCTGGCGGGGAGGGCCCTCCCCGGGGGAGGGGCTGGCCAGGGAGCCGCGGGGACTGAGTCAACGGCCCCACAGGCTTCCCCAGTGCCGGCTTGAGCTGCCTCCAGGGGCTCAGGTCACAGTGCCCACGGGGCCCCAGCCCTGCCCCTCGCCCATCAGGTCACGGTGCCCACGGGGCCCCAGCCGTGCCCCTTGCCCGAGGCTCCTCGGCAGCGATGTCCGGGGAGCACCCCCGGGTCCCTCCGTGTGGCCTGACCCCTGCCCTAGAAGCAGTCACACTCGCGGCTCGTGTGCGCTCAGCGGGGAGCAGCCCCCCGACCTGTGCGGCCGTTTCTGAGCAAGGAGCCAGTTCCAGACGGTCGTCTCCTGTGTCCTGTCTTGTGTTGGGGCGACGCGGCCCAGCAGAGCGCTCACCCCAGCGGGGTTCAGGCAGCCGTGTTCCCAGCCGGCACTCTGCCGGCCCCGGCTCCGCACCAGAGCGCGGTCGTCTGGGCCAGGCCATCTCCCCGGGGTGGCTGACTGTCCTTCTCCCCCCGTGAGGCCAGCCATCCTGGCAGGTCCCGGGAAAGGTCTGGGTGTCCAGCCAGCGTGTGCGTGACGCTCTGAGGACTGGCCGACCCAGTGCGTGTGCCGGCTTCCCTGCCCCCCCTCGAGAGCAGTGGTGGCCCCCCCCGGGCGCGGCCGAGCGTGGGCTGTAGACGGAGCCCCAGCCTGGGCCTGCGCCACGTGCACCAGAAGGGAGTGTGCTGCGCAGGCGGTGCTGGCACTGCCTGTCGGGCCCCAGGGGTGGGTCCGAGCCAGCGGGCAGGCCTGGGCCCCGAGCTCTGAGTGACCCCCCCAGCAGCCTGACCTCGTCCGCCCCTGCCCTCGGGAGAGGGCCGCACGCACGCGGCAGCCCCGCCGGGACCAGGGACGTGCCTGTGGGAGCTCCGCTGCCCGAGAGGGGCGCTTCCCCCAGCCGCGGCCCGGCCTGGCGCGCACCGGGAGGCGGGGGTGCAGGCTGTGGGGGGACCAGGGACGGGCGGCCGCACTGAGCCGCGTGTGAGTGAGCACCGGGGGGCGGGGGGGGCCGAGGGGGGCAGGGCGCCTGGGCGGAGGAGGCGAGGAGAGCCTGACGGTCCGTCTGTCAGCCCAGAGGGCAGGCCGCCTCGGTGTCTTTTTGACGACAGTCTCGACCTTTGGGTTTTGAGAAAGCGTTGGCCTCCCTCGAGTTTTGGAGCAACCGAGAGCGAGAGGACCGGGGTGACGAGCTCACCCACAATCACCGAGAGCGACCGGGGCCCAAAAGACAGGGTCGGTGCGAGAGGCGACTCTGTGATCTGGACGCTGCGCAGCGGTGGCAGTGGTCCTGTGCAGGCGCTGCCCTGGGTGGGCCGTGTCACCGCTGGGGCGGCCTGCACCGACCAGAGGGCCCAGGGGCGCCCCCCCGGCCTTTCCCAGGGCCTGGCTGTCACGAGAGGAGCTGCGGCTGTCCTGGGGAAGCGGGCGTTGACGGGGACTCTGACGGGCCTGGCCCACGCTGCCCGCCGGGGCGGGGGACCGAGTGCCCAGGGTCTGACACCGGTTTTCCTCTCTCGTTCCAGGACGTCGTGTGGGGACTGAACTCCCTGTTCACGGTGAGTGTTCTGACCGAAGGCCGGCTCCCCTTGCCCCCTGCTGGCCGGGGCTAGACCTCCCCCGTGGGGCAAACGGGAATCAGGCAGTACCCCGCCTGCCGCCCCTGTCCTGCCGCACTGTTTAGGGGGGCAGGGTCCCCAAGGCAGCTGGGGTGGGGCAGCACGCTGGTCCCTCCAGAGGCCAGACACGTGGCGTCAGCCTGTGCGCGGGGCGGCGGCCCCTCTGGCCACAGAGCTCTCACAGGGCAGCCCCGGCCACCCTCGGGGGGCGTGGGGGGCCGTCCCCACCCTGGCCTCAGAGGCCACGGGCTTCTTGGTCTCGTCTTCAGCGGAACGAGAAACAGCAGAGCCTGAAAGTCAGACTCTGCGTCCCCGCCCCCCTTTGCCTTCTGACCTGGCGTCAGCAGGCGGCGCCCAGAGCGGGAGCAGCACACCAGCCCTGCGGTCTGGCCCCCGGGTCTGGGGAGGTCCTGCTGGTCTTAGCCATGCAGTCGAGGTGCAGGCGGTGTTACTTGTGCGGGGCCTGGGCATGGTGCTGACCGCCTGGCCGTCAGGCCCCTTTGTCACAGGCCAGAGAACCACAGGGCCACACTGTCATGGTCGTCCGCCACCACAGCAGAACCCTCCAGAAACCCATCACCCCCCCGCCCCCCCCCCCGGGCCCGCCGACCCTGGTTAGGTAGAAAGGGGCCGGTGCCCCTGAGGGCAGGGCTGCCCGGCCTGGGGCCCTGCCCCCGAGCGCGGTCCTGGGGAGCAGGGCGCGTCTGAGCTGCAGGTCGGAGCGGGTGCCGCAGGGGGAGGACTGGCTGTCTGGGAGGGAAGGGGGGACGGGGCTCTCATCCGGGGAGCGCGTGGTGAGCGGCGGTGCTCTCCAGCCGCCGGCAGCCTGAGGGATGCGTGGGGCTGCGGGCCCTCCGTTTTCACCAGACGGCACGCCGTCCCACGTGAGTGGGACCCGTGCCCTTCCAGCCGGGCCCCAGCCTTCGTGGCGAAAAGGCGCAGCTCGGCGTCTCCCGTGGGAAGAGCCCCACCTCACCTGCGGCCGGGGGGGCCCCCGCTGCCGGTCCCCGAGGCGGGACTCGGCACGGCAGGACCCCGGGCCCTCCCCTCGCTCACGCAGAGCTTCCCTCCGCAGGACCTCCTGAACTTCGACGACCCCCTGAACATCGAGGCTGCGGAGCACCACCTGAGGGACAGGGTGAGCCCGAGGGGGCAGCCCCGGCTGCCGCCCGTGGGTCGGACGCGGGCGGAGCTGGGGGCCGGGCACCTGACGAGCCGGCCACAGCCGGTGGGGAGGCCCTGGGAGGGGGCGCTGGGGAGGGCAGCGCCGCCACGGCAGGGGCCTCTCCTTAGTCCTGGTTTGCGGCCGAGAGACTGGCCGGGAAGAGGTGGGGCCCAGGACCGGAGCCCAAGGCCTGGCTGCAGGGCCGGTGTCTCCCCAGGGGGCGGCGGGGGCCTGAGCTCTCAGGGCCGTTGGGGGCTCGCACTCTGGGCTCTGTCCTGGGGGCAGGGCGGGGGGGGGGGGTAGAGCGAAGGGCAGTGAGACCAAGCGGGGCCCGCTGGTCCTGGGGCGGGGCCTGTGCTGGGCATCCAGTGAGCTGCGGCTGCGGCACCTGGGGAGCTGGCAGTACCGCCGGCGCCCAGGAGCTGTGGGGGCAGCCCCGGGAGAGCGCCTGTCCGGTAGGGGCTGGTCTGCGCTTCCGCACAGCCTGGCCCGGCTGTGGGTCTGGGGCCCTGGGGGTCTCTGAGTGCAGCCCCGCCCGCAGGTGCGGGCATCCTGACCGCAACCCCTTCTGCTCGGAGCTGCTGTTTGGGACACCCTCCCCCGCCTCCCCTCCCCCCCCCCAGCACTGTGTCACAGGCGCAGAGTGGCACCAGCTCCGTGGGTCTCTAGTTGTCCCACCACCTCCGCTGCTGGAGGAGGGTGGCCGGACTCTCGGTGGGTCCTTGACTCAGGTGCTCAGACCGGTCCCTGACGTGTCACTCGCCCCCACTCACTGGCTCCTGTGCCCCTGACCCCTGTCCCCCCCAGGAGGACTTCCGGAATAAAGTGGAAGACTACATCAAGCGGTACGCCAGATGACGGGGGCGGCCTGCGGCACGGACTGTGCGAGAGGGTCCCCCCGGCTCCCGGGCCCCCCGGACCCCCCATCCCCGCACTCCCTCGGCCCTGCCGGCTCTGCGGGTCCTGCGCTGTGCCCTGCCCCCGGAGGAGCCTCCTCACGACTGCCCCCGGTAGACGGAGAGCTCCGCCCGCATACAGCAAGGAAATGCATCTGCTCCCCTCCGCCCGTCCACCTCTGCGAGCCCGCGCCGCACCGGCCGAGGCGGGGCTCGGGCTGTTCCGGTGACTCAGAACCCAAGGAGAGCTTGCTTCTGCCCTGTCCCCAGTCGCCTCCCTGCACAGCGACTAACCACGTGCCAGTGTAGTCGGCAGGTGGGCCGTCCGCCCGCGCAAACTGTGATTGGTTGCACAGTCCCTCAGCCCCGCCCACGAGTGGGGGCCGGCCCGGAGTCCGGAGCGTCCCGGAATGCAGTCCCTCACTGTATGTAGATCTCTTACTGAAACGCGTGCTTTATTTAATGTAAGTATATTTTGGAACAGATTTGTAATTTGTACAATTTAATGCTTTAATTATTTTTTTCTATTCTTCTTTAGTTCGTATTTTCATTGTGTAGAGCAGACAGAGAGATGTGGGTCGAGCAACTGTTGAAGAGAAATACAAAGGAAATGAAAGACACACTATCCCTTCTGTCCGCATGCAGCGAGAACTTGGCTTTGAAAAACCAGCTCTTGCTTTCGGGTCCAGAAGGGGCGAGACTCAGAGCCCCGGGAGCTAGGTCTGGGGGGCTTGGAGCGCAAGGGGCAGGAGCTGGCCCTCGGGCCCTCGGTCCTGGGGACAGGGTGACCCCGGAAGAGTCGCTGTCTGACGCCGCGGAGACTGCCCCCGTGGCCTGCTGAGTCCGCTGCGGCTCCGGCTGCGGAGGGCGGGGCCAGAGCGGCGGCCAGACGGTGCGCACAGAGGAGGCCCCGGACCTGTGGTGCAAATAAACGTCCGAAAGGTCTCACCCCTGCCTGCCCGACGCCCTTCCGTCTGACCTCCTCCCGACCTCTGGCCCCCAGTCTGCCAGGCCGGTGTCCACTCCTGATTTATAGCAGTCTCTGATTGTGACATCACTGTCCTCAGGTCAGCGCGGGGACGTGGGCCATGCTTCCTGTTTGCCATCGGGAATTGTGCCACTGGACCTGGGGGTGGTGCCTGAGCAGAGAGAGCAGGGTCCCCACCCCCTGGGCCAGACAGCGGCAACGTGGCTGACACAGTTGTCACTGGAGCTACCACTCCCGACTTATGACCCATGACACGTGCAGGGAGGGCTTTGTTCCCGGTCCCAAGGGGCTCCCGCCTCAGTCCGAGTCTGGGAACAGACACCTGTCCCTGGGGACCCGATGGAGCAGGCGACGGTGGAGCCCAGTGACTTGCTGGGTCGCCGTGTTCCCTGCCAGACCAGTCCGGTGGCAGGGGACAGACCAGTGGACACAGGAAGAGCAGCAGGCTGGAGGAAGACCTGGTCACGCGTGGGTCAACCCAGACCAGCCCGGGCACTGGCCTCCTCGGTCCTCCCCACCTTGCCGTGGGAGGGGGCCCCAACAGGACCCACCAGTCCCCTGCCTGCCACGCCCTCCACTGCCTCTGGAGTAAGCAGCACCCCCTGCCCCTCGCTGGACTGTGACCAGGCCCCTGCCCTTGAAGCAGCACTTCCGCGCCAGGTGTGATGAGATCCGCTCCCCATGGACACCCAGCTTCCCTCTTGGGGCCCCTTTCAGGGTTCAGTTCCCATGGAGCCGCCTCTCACAGGCAGCTGGACACTTCCTAAGGTGCCCCCACTTCTCCCAGGTGCTGTGGGCGCCAGCGGGGGGTCTGCCCCTGCAGCTTCCTGCCTGACCCTGTCACCCTGCAGTAACGGACTCAGTTATCACAACGGGCTGTGGAACGTGGCGTGGCAGGGGCGCGGCGCACCAGGGGCGTGCGGGCTCCCACAGGCCCCTCCCGGAGGCTGTGCACTCTGGCGCCCGCCTGCCGCCTGCCCCGAAGTTTGCCTTGCTTGACTGCGTCTACGGGCCTGTGAAAAAAATACTGCGAAAAGAGAAGTCACACCCAGCAGGCTTTCGGGACGAATAAAGCTCAATGAAATGGCAACAGGGTGGACGCGTAACCACGGTGAACCCGCGGCAGAGGGTTCCGCATCCGGGGAAAGCACCAAAGACGGAGGCAGGGCACAGCCCTTTCTCCTGCGGACGAGAGCGGACAGCCACTGCAGCAGGCTGGCGCCAAACGCGTTTCTGAGCAGGTGGCAACATGGCACCACACCGTCACTACGGCGTGGCCAAACGTCCCGTCGTGGGGGCTGTCCTGTGCGTTGCAGGTGCTGAGAGGCGTTCGTCGCCTCTGCTCACTGGGCTGCAGAGGCACCCCCCCCACACACACGCGCGTGCTCGCGCGCACACACACACACACACACACACAGTTACACCAACCAAAATTGTCTCTGGGCGGGGCCGGGCGGGGCATCCGTCTCAGCTGAGAACCACTGAATAGACGGACTTTTTTCATCTCTTTCCATTTCTGAGCTAGCAGAATTCCCGTGCTCCAGCGTCTGGCTCCCTGACGCACCCTTCAGCTACGCCTATTCCGTTCAGGCCAGCTGTTGAATGTTTTAATAGACTTTTTAAGAGTGGTTTTAGGTTCGTGCGATACTGAGTGGCAAGTATGCCCCGCCCCTCACCGGTACACCCTCCCCCCACTATCAACACCCCACTAACGTGGCATTTGCCGCAACTGAGGAACCTCCACGGACACGTCACTATCACCTGAAGTTCTCAGTGGACGTGGGGGCTCCCTCTGGGGGCTGTGCGTGGTGTGGCTTTTCACTAGACGTGAAGACTTCACAAGAGCATGGCGTGTGTCCCCCGCGGTGGTGTCACAGGCGTTGCACTGCCCTACACACCCTCTGTGCTCCTGGCTCAGCCCTCCTCCTGCCCTCCCCCCACCCCTGGTGGCTCCTTCCTCCCTCAGCCTTTGGAAGAGGTGACTGTCCTCCACTCCCACCCATCCCAGTCCTTCCCTGACTTGCACCACCCCCGCCCCCCGGCTCTCCTGAAATGTGTTAAACTTGTCGGCGCCCCCTGTCTTCTCACGGGCATGTTACACAGTGCCCTGCACCTGGACATTCCTTCATCCTTCCCTCTCCTTCCCTTGTGACCGCCCCCGCGCTCCTGTGCATCAGCTCCCTGAAGTCTCGGCGTGTCCTTTACGATTGGGTGCATTTGTCAGGCAATGAGCTCACTGTGCAAGCAAGGATGAAAGGAAATCAAGAACGTAGACACGTGGCCCTGCCTACGTGGCTCAGCGGACGGAGCGACGACCTGGGAACCAAAGGTCGCCAGCTCCATTCCCAGCCTAGGGCACATGCCAGCGTTGCAGGCCGGGTCCCCGGCGGGCGGCTTGCAAGAGGCAACCACACATGGATGTTTCTCTCCCTCTCTCCCTCCCTTTCCCTCTGAAAATAAATAAATAAAATATTTTTTTTAAAAAATCTTGCAGGGCTGGAAAGGACAACTTCTGGACCCCAACGGAGATAAGGTTGAGCAAGTCCCCGAAAAGCCGATTAAAATGCAATTTCTTGACAAAGTATTCCCGAGTTCAAATTCAGGCTCCATGGCGACCCCTCTGCACTTGCGCAAGACGCCTTTCTGGGCCTCCATTTCCTCGCGTGCGAAAACGGGGGTGTCAGCGGCTCCGCGGACCGCGTCCCCGAGACCGGTCTGAACTCGCGGACGGAGCTCAGGGCAGAGCCTGGCCCGCGCCCGGCGCTCGCTTAGAGGCGGTTCCGCAAGGGGCGGCCAGGAGCCCGGACTCTGGCCCTCTCGTCCCCTTCACGGCTTCTCTCACGACCGGCTGAAGCCGTGTTGTTGGACGCGTCCACCTGACTCTCGCCCACAACCCAGCCCGCGCCCCGCCCCTGCCCTGGGCTCCTTCCCGCCCGGGAGAAGGAACCGCGCCGCGCCCCCTAGGCCCTCACTGTCCTCGCGCCGCACACTCGGCTCTGCCCGTGGCCGCGTCACCCCCAGGCCTCTCCCGAGTCTGCCCTCCCTGCGGCCCACGCCCGCGGCGCAGGGCTCCTGCTGCCTCGCCGCGACCAGACGCCTCCCACGCGGCCGCAGGGGATGAGTCCTAATTCCGCTCCGGTCCCTGTGCCGAGGGCCCTCCCGCCGGAGCCCTGGGTGCGGGTTCCGGGAGACCGCAGACCCGAGGACGCAGAAGCGTGGGCCGCCGGCCTCCGCACGCGGCCCTGCTCCGGGCGCCCGGTCCTGCGGGGCAGGCGAATCCCGCGTGCCACCGCGCCCACGCCGCCCCCACCCCGTCCACGCGGCCCCCAGGATGTCCACCCCGTCCCCACCCCGGTCCACGCCGCCGGCCGCTCGGGTGCCTCCTCCTCGCCGACGTCGGCGGGCCCACGCAGGGCGCTGGAGGGTGAGGAGCGCGAGAGGCTGCGCCACCTAGGTTTCCCGCCCGCTCCCCGGGACCGGGGCCACGCCCCGCCCCAGGACCGTCACCTGACCTCGTGGAGCCAATCAACATTCCACCGTGTCCCGGCCGAGAGGCCGGTCGGCTGGAGCGCTGGGATTGGTCCGGTGTGCGCAACTCAGCCAATCCGAACGCGCCGATCCCTCGCGGCCCCGCCCCCGTGAAGCTCCGGAGCGGCACTCCAGGAGTAGCCTGCTGGGCTGGTGTGACAGCCACTGCGGCCGTTGAGTGCGGCCGGGCCCCGGCGCGACTGGGATGGAGGCCACCCCGGCACCGAACAGTCACGCGCAGAGGCGCGTGGCGAGTCCGCCCGGCGGCCACGAAGAGGAGATCCCGCCGGAGAGGTGCGCGCTGGGAGGGGAAGGCGAGGGGAGCCGCCGGCCCCCTTTTCCGGGAAGCCCTCCGGGCGCCGCGGGGCTGGGGCGAGGGAGCACGTTGCGAAACGGTTGGTCTATTAATAATAATCTAGGCGGGGGGGGAGGTGGCAGGAGAAGTGAACGCACGGGGGCGGAACCGGCAGGCCCGGCTGATGCTGGGGCGCTGGGAAAGCAGGGCTCACAAGGATGCTTCGGGCCTGAGCCCCGGGCAAAGCGGGGGCGCAGACCGGGCGGCGCTTGCGGCCCACTCGGCTTCCCCGCCGGGGGCGGGCTGGGGGGCGGGCCAGGGGTGCAGGCGAGGCGCTGTCCCGTTGGTGAGGTTCGCCTCCCGCTCCAGGAAGGTGTTGAATGCATTTTTTTTTCCCCCCCGGCAATCCTCTTTCCCCGGGTGGGGAACTCGTGCGCGCCTGTAAAACCTGGGTCCGGGTCTCCATCGGAGCAGCCCTTGCACGAGGCGTTCCGCCTGGCTGGGACGGAGCGGAGCAGAGCGGCGCAGGGAGGATGTCCGCCAGGGAGGCCGGGTGGAGGGGGTCGCAGGATGCCTTTCTGCAGTTTGGTTGTGAAAGTCGCAGAGTGTAGCGCGCCCACCCAATACTGACAGCACTTTGAGGAAGCAGCAGGTCATGGACTGCGCGGTCTGCCGAGTGTGTGCATCTGGACGTCACGCCATAAATGAGCCAAGCGGCAGGC